TATTTGTTCATATGTTTGCTGATCATTTGTATTTCTTATTTTATGAATTGCCTATTTGTGCCATTTTCTATTTTTCCACTGGGTTGTTATTCTTTTTCTTATTGATTTAAAAAGTACTTTGTATGTTAAGGATATTAACCCTTTATCATAGATCTTGTAAATATTTTCTCCCAACTTATTGTCTTTGGATTTTATTTTGCTTTCCTTTTTTTGGTCATATGAAAGTTTCTAAATTATATCTAGTTTCCTTCAATCTTTTCCTTCATTCCATTTATTGTTAACAGTTTACTGTGTAATTTTCTAACCATTTTCTATGCATATGCAAATATATCCATAAATAAATATATAGTTAAAGATATAAACTTTTCTGCACATTTTAGGTAATATCACACTATTCTGCAACTTAATTCACTTAAATATTGTGGATATTTTAGCATATTAAAGTATAAAGATTTATCTCTGAGTATCCCATTATAGGAATTTACTATAATTTCATTAAACTAATTTTTAAGATTTATTTACATTTTCACATTTAAATCTGAAAGTGTTTTGATGAGAGAAATAGAGACTGAAATTCATTTACTTCACTTGGTAAGCCAATTGTCTCAATAGCACTTATAAAATAATCTATCCTTTCCCCACTGATTTGAAATAGCCTTATCATATATTAAATATCACATATTTAATGTTAACTGGATCACATATTAAATACACCTATATTAACAATATGGGTTTCTCTCTAGATTTTCTATTTTGCTTCCTTTACTTATTTTTAACATGAAGTTGTTTTAATTATTGTAGCTCTGTAATATATTTTAGTATCTACAAAATCAATACCATCTCCCTATTTCATCCTTTTCAATATGGCTTTTATTCTGAGCTTTAGAATCATTCCATGAAGTTCCCAAAACAACTATTTAGGATTTTGATTGAAATTGTGTTAACTAACTAAACTAATAAAAGGATTATTGCAATTGACTATTTCATTTGCAAATAATTATTTCAATTTAAAAGCACAGTCTCCATCTATTCAAGTTTGTTTTTACATACATCAGTCATGTTTTGGTTTCTTTGTTTAAGTCATGGATTTTGCATCAAGTTTTTTCTAGATATTTTATATTTTTATGACAATTGTGAATAGGATTTTAAAGGTATATTTAATACTATTCGTCTTTAGGAAAGTTCTGATTTTGTGTGCACTTCATAACAAGTCACCCTTCTGAACATTAGTGCTATTGTTTCCAGCCATGTCTTTTGGGTCTCTCATGCAGGCAATCACTCGCAAAAAATTAATTACAAGACAGAAAGAGCCTGGGTAGTTTTCTTTCTTCATTTATAGTTTACACTTTGGGTTTCTTTTTTCTTTTTCTCATTGCTTTGACTAAAACCAGTTTTCTTGGAAGTATCCATTAGACAGTTTTTCTCCCTGGAATTCCATTTGGATCACACACACACGCTCTTTAGGATATTATCCTTCTTTCCCCCTAATACTTTCATCTCCTTAACACTTAATTCTAAAATGTGATTCATTGCTTCTTTAGGTTTAACATTCAACAAACAGTACTTTTATCTCTCAGTTACTCATCTTTGGAAAATTGCCCGGGATGCCCGCAGGGGTCAAAGTGACTGCTGCTTTGGAGCCCTCTCCCTTGCTGGCTTCCTTACGCGGAGCCATCCCCACTCCCTCCTTAAGCCCTCTTGCTCCCAGGTTCTCCTCCTGACTTCTCGGTCCTCCTCTCCCCACCTCTGGGTCCCGAGTTCCTCCCCAGGCATTCTGTTCCCCCTCTGCAAGTTCTCCCTAATGGTCGCCACCATCCCTGTGCCCACTGCCCACCTGAGACACCTGGAGAGAGTTCCGGCCTGGCCTCAGAGCTCCGTTCAAGGGCTGTTTTGCCAGCAGGTTTCAACACCAAACTCCCAAATTTGTGCTCCACATATTCACGGTACCGTTGTCCACCTAGTGGCCAAGACAGAATGTCAGCGTCATCCTAGACATCTCCCTCCCTGACCCCTGCTCTGCTGTTGATTCCATAGTATGAATGCCTCTCCCTTCTCTCCGACTTATTACTACCACCAGGATTCTCAGGTCTTCAGAGTATCTGGTTGTCTTGTCATTTTTTCCCTCTGTTGTTTGTCTTGAACTCATTCTCATCACGTGCCTTCTCAAAGCACACATTTAATCATGTCAGAGATTTGTTCCAACAATTTCAGTGGGTCCTAAAACAAATTCTAAATGACTGACGACACGTGAGGCTCTCTGTTATCTGGTCCTAAGAACCTTTCAGCTTTGTCACCATCATCCCTTTCCAGTCCCCTCTGCCCGAGCACACCAAGACTCCCACCATTCCCCAATGCCTCCGTGCCTTTGCACAGACCCTTCCCTCTGCCTAGAGTCCTTTCCCTGACCCTGCACCTGCTCATCCTTCAAGATCAAGCTCAAAAGACACCTGTGGGATGTCATCCTGGATTGCTGAGGTGGGGAGGTTCAGGCTCCCTCCCCTGTGCTTCTTGGTACTTGGTAAATGCTCCTGGACCCTAGCACCCACCAGTGGTGCTACAGTTATGTCTGTATCTGTCTCTCCCAGGACTCTCCTCCATTTACCTGGTTCCCTTCTTCCTCTCGCACCACTTCCCCTCCATCAGACCCACGAACCTAAGTCCCTGACCAAGTTAAACCCAACAGCCATTCATTCCCTGCCTGCCCTTGCACAATGTAACAGCGCACAGCTGTGGAAAGTCACATCCCCTATAACTTCAGCGCTTACCTATGGGGTATTCAATTTCTCACTTTGCACAACTATTTCACACCTTCTTCTCTGCCCCCAAGCTTCCTATGGTCCTTCTTCCCCAGAAGGCCTTGCCTCTGATTCCTTGAGAAAACAGCAGCAATCAGAAGACAAGGTCCTCACTCCTCCCCACCCACCCCTGGTTCCCTGCACTGAAACCTACTTGCTCGTCCCCCAAGGCCCTCCTCCTCTTTTTGCTCTGGATCGCCTCCCTCCCACTTCCCAGAGCCGTGGCTCTTGCATTAGCCCCTTCCCCTTCCTCCTCCCTGTCATCAGTACCTCCCTGGCCACCAGATCATTTCCAGGGGCCCATAAACATACTTGACTGTCCTCTATGTCTTAAAAATAATAACAATTTAAATTCAAAACAGTCTCTTGACCCTTCCCACCTAGTAGCAGCCACTCCATGTCTCAGCTGTCCTTCACACTAAAATTCCTCTTTTCTATCATTTTTAGTAACTTTCTCCAATTCCTCATCTCCACCTATTCCACTCAGACACCAGTCCTTTCTACTCCACTGAAACTGGTATTGCCAAGATGACAGCGCCTCCAAGTTGTCGAATCACATCGTCACCTCTGTGTCATCTTGCTCTACCTTTCAACAGCATTTGACACAGATGACCGTTTCCTCCTCCTTGAAAAACAGTTTCTGTCTCAGCTTTCATGATATCTACTCTTCAGGGGTCCCCACTACCTCCCTGGCTTCACATCTCCTTTGCTAGCTCTTCTCTTCTCAACATTAGCATGTTCTAGAATTCAGTCATGAGACCTCTTTTTTCTCCATGCATAATCTCATTATTCAATGGATTTAAGGACCGTCTACATGTTAATGACTCTAAAATCTATACATCCAGTCCTGATCTCTCCTCCAAACTCCAGACTTTGACTTGTCTACTTGATCACCCTATAAAACATTTCAAACGTAACATGCCTAAAACAAACCTCTCAAGATCCACCTTCTAACATTCCCCTCTCCAAGTCTTCTCTATGTCATTAAATGGTACCATTCACCTAGCGGCTCAAACCAAAACCCCAGAAGTCATTCTAAATTTCTCTTTCCCCGCCCCCTCCTCACTGCCTTACTGTCCATTGATTCCATCTGAAAACACTTCTCCAGTCCATCTCCTTGTTTCTATCTGCATTGCTCCCATTCCACCACCTAGTCCACATCGCCACTGTCCTTCACTTTACTACTGCAGGAGCCCCCTAACTGGCCTTCGGGTTCCTCTCTCACCTCCTGCAGACTTCTCCTCCTCCACCCAGCTGCCAAAGCAATCTTTGAAAACTGTAAATCATAGCATATCACTCCTCAGGCTAAAAACCTCCAATGGTCCTGCATTGCACTTAGAGTTGAACCCCACTCCTCACCCAGCCCTGTAAAGCCTCTGTGGTCCGGCCCCGCCCACATCTCCAACCTGCCACGCCCTTCCCACCCTTGCTGGCCGCTAGCCACATGATGTTCTTCCTCTCCCTCAAACCCTCTCTTTTTCCCACCTGAAGGCCCTTGGAGCAGCTGTTTCCTCTTCTCAAAATGCTTGCTCCTTCTCCCCCAACCCTACTTTATTTTAATCATAGCACTAATCACAACTTGACATTTCCTTGTTTGGGGTTTTTTTGGAGGGGGTAGGGGTGAAATCTGTATCTCTTACCTAGAATTAGAGCTTCCTGAAAGAATGGACCACACTGTCTTGATCTCTGTTGGATTCCTGGCACCTAGGCCAGTTTCTGGCACATAGCAGGTGTTTGCTAAATGCTTGTTAAAGGCATGACGGAATCCTAGCATTCCTTGCCATGGCTACAGTTCCTCGTCCAGAGCCATATTTGCCTTGTCCAAGCTCTCCAATATTTGCTGAATTAAGAACAAGTCCCTCCAAGGACACTGTGAGCTCCTTGGGAGCAGAGCCCTGCTTTAGGGCTCTTTGTTTCCTGCACAGCACCTAGCAGGTGGGACCTCCAGGTGTTCAGTGAATATGCTGCCTAATTTCTCCTTCATAAAGTGGAAGCCAAGCTACTCAGCTGTCTACTTAATAGACTTCATTTCTCTGAGTCGCAAGAGGAAATGTCCTGAGAACCTGGATATGCTGGGTGGGAAGTTGCAGGGGTTGGTCGGCCACTCTCGGCTGGAACAGAGGTAAAGGGGAGTCTGCACCTTGCAGTTATCCAGTCAGAATCCCAGTCATGGTGCTACATTTCCTTTTGGTGACTGTGTTGCAGGGTGCAACCTACCTCCTGGTGATGGTGGATCCAGATGCCCCCAGCAGGTCTTCACCCAAAGCTCGCTTCTGGAGACACTGGCTGGTAACAGATATCAAGGTAAGCAGGCCAGGAGGCACTTTCTGGGTCATCTGGGATCGTAGCTGGAAAACTGTCATTCTATGCAGCTCTCGGTTCTCATTCAGAAGGGTTGGGAACGTTGATGAACAAGGACTTCTGTGTCGCGTCGCCCCCAGGACCCAGCTGTCACAGCCCCTCCCAAGTGTTCTAACAATTTCAAAAACTGTCCCAGGACCAGTGGTGCACAGGGAAACAGGCTCTCTTGATAAGAAGGGGGAAGCCCCTATTTGTAGTGTTCACTGGTTTTTTAGTATAAATATCCCCACTGTGGCCAATTTCAAGCTACTGATGAGTTAACGACTGACTCACACAATTTCTGGAAAGTAACAGTTGGCTGCAGTGCAGCCCTGTGGGGGGCCTGGATTTGGGGGGTATGGGGTGATTCTGTGCAGTCCACGTGACAGAACCAGCCAAGGGCAGCCCTGCAGGAGCACCTTGCCCTTCTGGGCCAAGGGACATGGGGGAGGCTTGGCGATTTCCTTTTCTCTGTACAGAAGCAAGTGGCCCTCCCCTCGTGTTGGTCCCCTTGCCGTTACCACAATTGCGAAGGAACCTGGTTCATCCTTCCGGCAGTAGGTCTAAGGAATGAAAATTTGGCTGATTGTTAAAGCACACGATGTGGGGGGGAAAGGCTCTATTGCCAAACAAGTTTTGGAGACTCTGGGTTAAACTGTACTAATCCCATTCTTCAGTGGAGGGTTTTTTTTTTAGAGCTTTTAATTTCCTAATATGCACTATATAATATGCATTTATTATCCAACCTCATTTGACCATTGGATCTTTTGTTCACGAGCACCTGGCAGTGCACTGTGGGAAAGTCCACACTAGCTTCAAGCATCCTCACAGCCATGCCTAGAAGCCTGAGTATGGCCCTTGCATAGAGTGTGCAAAGGCATCAACCCCATAAGACCATGGGAACCTCTAACTAGAAAGTCTAAGTTTGGCTGGTTATCTTGTCACTTGCAACCTCTCTGTGTTTCTCCTTTTGGAGGTATGGGGCAGAGGAGGGGTATCAGTCTGAACTAGCCACTCACTCTCCCAAGCAGGGCACAGCCACTGGAGGGGAAGCTGGGGGAGGCGGGAGCTGCTCTGGTGACCAAGCCCTGTGCAGTGACCCAGGCCCTTCACAGGCTTCTCAGGCAGGCAGCCCACCCACACAGCAGCCTTGGGAGGGGCTGCCTCCAGGGAGACTTCCGGCTGCCGGGCTCCTGAACAAACGCAGGGCCCAGCCACCCTCCGCCTGGTGGAGAGCCTTGGAAACACCGTGAACGTGGGCAGAGCACAAAGGGGAAAGGGGCTGGGTCCGGTCCCAACCTAGGGCACTGCCACTTTTGGCACTTGAGAGTCCCTGGCTAGCCCTCAGGGAAAGGGTATTGCTCTGACAACCCAGTTACAGCCCCTGGTCCCACACCAAGGGCAGTTGGTGGCAGGGTTCTACTGGGTGATCCTGGGCCACCGTTTCAGAAGCTGTTGTAGATGGAATTATTTCAGTGTATTTTGAGGGGGGCCTTGGGGCCATGAGGCTGCCTCTCTTCCAAGCCCCTGCCTCACCTACTCCCCTCACCACAATATGCGCTTAGCACTGCTGGCCCACACAGCCTTGGGGCAAACACGAGTTTAGCCTCAGCAGCTCAGCTGAGAAGCAGAGCAGGTGGCAGGTGGCAGCTGTCCGGCAAGGCTGCTAAGCCCCAGAGCTTACCAGGCCACCTGCCCCGGTGCGGCCCTCAGCCTTCCTGCTCAGGCCAGGGGAAGCTTGGATTTCAGCCACATTTTCACCCACTTTCCCTGATCCAGGGGTCCAGCAGGAAGCCACAGCTCTCCTCAGCTATATCCCCTCCACCACCCATCAGCCCCCCAACTCCTCCTGCTGCATAGCCAGTATAATCAGCAGCCCCATTTAGGCCTCAGGTTGTGGACCTTGGCCAAAGGAAAGGGCTTGAGTCAAGCCCAGAAGCACTTCCTTTGTGTTGGCTGGCCCCAGCTGCTACGTAGTGGGTCTCAAATGTTAGCACACACTGCAATCAGCTGGCAAGCTTGTGAAAATGCAGGTTCCCAGCACCATGTCAGTCATTCTGGAGAGAATGCAGCATCTGCCTCTAACAAGGACCCCGGGGGAGTTTAGCAGTTTGAAGGAAGACCTCAGAGTTCTGTGTCAGAATGCCTTGGCCGTCATTAACATCACCCATTTGTGGCGCAATTCTCAAGTGCAAGGCACTTGTGAAACTTCCTTCAGATCCTCACAGTCACTTGTGAACTGGGCATTATCCCCATTTTATAGATGGGGACTGCATAGCTGGGGGAGTTCAATGATGCAGTCTCCCAGCTAGTGGGCTACAGAGGGGTCCTCAGTACAGGCCCCCAACTCCAAACCACACGCCCTTCCTGCCATACCAAGTGGTCTGGGCTCTCACCTCATCTCTCCCGACAACTTCACTGTGGCAAGGGGAGGCCACTATGCCCTCCCTGTAAGCTGGAGCACAACCTCTGTTTCTGGTTCCCTACCACCCCAGGGCTCTATTTCTGGTTACCTTGTATGGGCAGATACTTCCAGGGAACCTCCCCAGGGAAGGCTGTCTTGGTAAATAAAATTTACCTGCTAAGTGTTTGAACGCCATAAAATTAAGCCCTACCTATCGCCATTACTGTCAGCAGTCAGTGACCTCGCACTCAGGCGTGCCGTGACGTTACTGCCGAGTGAGGATGGCCCTGCGATTCACAATGGTCACAGAGGCAAACTTGGTGGGACCTAGGCTGACCTTGATATGCCCAGGCCATGGCCATGGGAGCCCCTCAGGGACAATTTTGGGGCCATCTGTCTAGGTTGAAACAGGCCAGCAGCCAGTTCTTAAGAATATAGGAAACACCGGCAGCCCCCCAAAGAGAGGCTAGTCCAGCATAGAGTAGGAGAAAGCTGTAGACCTACAGAGTACAAGCCTGCGAGCAAGGACACTGGAGCCAGACAGCTGTGGGTCCAATAATGAATCCACCGGTATTAGCTGTGCGATCTTGGGGGACAACCTGTGTCTCAACACGCTCACTTAAAAGTGGGGATACCAACAGTACCTACCTCACTCTATTGGTACGACGCTCAGATGAGTCCTTTGAAGTAAAGTGTGTAGAATGGCACCCAGAACGCAAGGTAAGCTGTATATACTTGTTTGCTCTGATGTTATCATTACTGCTGGAAGTCCAGCACTGAGCAAACACGAGTTACAGCCGCAAACAAAGCAGGGGCAGTCTCTGCTCTCCACGGGCTTCTCTCTATGAGGCAGAGGAAGGAGGCTGCAGCACAGGGCGGGTCACCACGGCACCAGGGGCATTTCCGGGCGGAACTTCCTATACCTTTGGGTTCCCATTAGCTCAGTCCCCAAACCTGGCCCAGCAAGGGCAGGCAGGAATTGATGCATAAAGCATGCTGCCCTTTTACCGCCTCCTCTTTGAAGATCTCTCATTGAGCAAAAGAGATGATTTAACAGAGCACTGACACATGGCCCCTCTCTCCCGCCAGTGCCAGGTCCTCAGCTTTTCCTTTAAGATGTTTTTCAGTTCTGATTCAATCTAACTAATAAACTCCATGCTAAAGGCTAATTAAGATATCAATTAATTTGCATCATTCATTTCAGAAGAAACACTTATTGGTTCATCTTCTATTTGTCTCTGAAATTAGTGCTGAGGGCTTTTCATGCAGATATTTTCATTAGACTTTTTATTGTTAATGGGAATATTGAACACAGGAAGATGGTATATTAATACCTTCCACAAAGAATATCATGATTGGCGACAAAGAACACTAAGAACAATTAAGGAGACAAGAGTACCTTTTTTCTTCCAAAAAAGAAAATCTTCCTAGAAACCGTCAATGATTCTAAAATTTGCCCTGAATATCTTTTTTGTTTTAAGAAAGAAAAGGAAACTGCAAGTTCAAGTTTCCCTTTCATTCAGTGCCCTCAACCTTTGGCAGCTGTACATGCAACCAATTCTGGGCTGTTTTAAAAGGACCTCGAAGGGCTCATTATTCTGTCTACTTTTCTATAGGGTTGAATTTTTTCATAATGAGAGGGTTTTTTTTTAAAGGCTCTCTAAGTATGTTAGGTGAAAAAGATAAGTGGGCAGCCCTATCAACGGGGCCAGGATCACAGCCCCCTGCTCCCCAGTTATGCAGTTCACAAGCGTCAAGACACATCTGTTTGAATTTTCGGTCCCACTACTGAGGGAGCTCAGGCCAGTTACTTAACCTCTCTGAAACTGCAGCTTCTCGTCTGTAAAACTGACACAAATCCTTACCCTTCGGGGTTGAGACACAAACAAGGAAATTGCATATGCAAGGCAAGAAGCCTGTCTAGAGAGGAGCACGTAGAAAGCGGCAGGTTTATCCTTGTTCCTAAGCAATAAATCAAGGTCCTGTCGAATTTTAAATATATATATATATTTATTTATTCCTCTCTNTAAAATACACTAGATATTATATATATGTATATTCTGACTTCCTGTATGCCCAGAAGCAAACTAATGACAATAAACAGAAGACAGATCATCTTTACCAGGACCACAAGTTCAGATGAAGATGTTAAACCAAGACAATGGGATTAATCAGTTATTGCCTTTATTTTTAGAGCTGCATTTTCAGTTTTGCTGCTGGCATTTGTGTACTGGTCTGTGCATGCTTTGGCCCGTACAGTGAGGGTCCATTTTAAGTAATAAATACCTGAAAGGCAAGCTTATGCTCCCTGAGAACTCAACAGGCTATAAAGAGCATTTGTTGATAGGGGTGATGCAGGGGAGCATTGGTGATAAAACAGACTTGTGCCTGGCCACCCTGAAGGTGCACTTTTGGGTCCAGCCTCTGTCACTTCCAGATGGGACTCTCTGAGCTTCAGTTTCTTCATCATTAAAATGGGCATGATAATAAAATCTATTTCCCGGTTCTCAATAGGATTAAGGCTCCTGATACAGAACAGAACAGTAGGACCTGGATACAT